CGATTGGATAAGAGGCCAACAACACAACCGAGACGCAGTCGAGCAAATGCAATAAACTTTAAGTTTATTAAATTTTATCACACTTATATCTCTTATGTGTGGCCGGGCAATTGTTTGCCGGGAATCAAATTGCCAAAAGGCCATGTAAAGTGTAGATTTCGAGGATGCAATGGCGGCCCAATCAATGCCAAATCAAATCAACTGGGCCAGCTCCACCAACTGAATCTACAATGAACTCGCAGCCCTGACCCACGAACCCAATCCAACCTACAAAAAAAAAAACGAAACAAATTGAATTACTTAGGTGGGTATGGTTATACTTAGCCGTATAATATGGCTATTAAGTGGGAGGTCGAAAAGCAGGGGAATTTCAAAAAGATTTTGCTGTAATCTAATATTAAGAAAAAATTTTTTAATAAAATTTTTTTTTTTTTTTAACTATCCTATTTTATTTAGGTTACAATTCGTTTGCCATTTATATATTCTCATAAATTCTATTATGTGGATTCTTAAATTCTAAATAGTCCCACATAATACAAGGCAAATAATTAACGATCAACCTGCCAATTATGAGTTGAACTCGTTTTGCACTGGTTTTGAACTCCATTTCCCACGAAGCAATTGCGAAATGGCAAACGATGGGAGCGGAACAACAAAACCGATTTGTTTCGTATTACCAAACTTTCGCCGGAAAAAGAAAGGAGTAGGGGGGGGGTTGGGGGGGGGAGAAAGGCGGTTTGGGTTACGGTTCTCCAGTTCCGGTTCGTTGGGGTCTTTGCGGTTGGGCCGAAGTGCCTGTGTCTGTGTGCCGCTTGTAAAAGTGAAGTGAGACATATGTACAGTAACAAATCAATTTTAGTGGCAAACACACACAGGTTGGGGGTGGCATATAGGGTGGGAAAAAGGGAGTGGGGGGCGGTGGGCGGTGTGGGTGCCGCTCAAACTCGTTTTGGGGCATATTACTTCCGCCGAACTTGATTGAACTGCTCTGGTCCGGACAGCGAGCGAGCGGAAAGCGAAATTCATCAACGCACCATTGCCCGAAATCCTTTGGCCCCCTCTTCCAACGGCACCCATGTCAAATCCCCAACCCCCCCTTGACAGCCCGACACCCCGCCCCGTGTAAAAAAAACCACGGACCCCTGTCACTTTTGATTGTAATCGAGTGTTTTTATTGTCGCTCTCTCGCTCTCGCTTTTGCTCTGCCTTCTGTGTCTTCATCTAGCTGCACTGCAAGAAATTACAAGCTATTTTAAGTCACTGTGGAATCTAAAATAGATTGATACAATTTTATTTTCATTGGAACTGTAATTCTAAATTATAATTGAACGCATTTTGCACTCTAGTATTTGATCATTTTTATTATAAGGCCAACTATACAAATAGTATCGCTTAAAATATTTTATTTATTTTAAATCATTATCTTAGGTTGGGATTTATTATTTTAACAGTTATATAATATTTAATAAAAAATATTGTTATAAGTATTTCCCATTCTTCTTTTAATAACTTTGTTTATTTTCTTATTTTCTTGGGTGTAATCAAGTGTATAATCAAGTGAATTGGATTTAACATATTGAAAGTAACATTTTTTTTTTTAAATAGATTAAAGAGCTTTTTATTAATTGGTCGTTCCAAATATTTTTTCCTGTGCTTGCGCACTGACAAACAGTTTGATATACTTACGAACTGCGCTGCAAAGCCACATCCACATCCACATCCACATCCAGAGTCCTGGCCATGGTCTTCAAACTCATCCTCGTCGTCCTCGATCTCGGCGTGTGTTTGCCAATTGGATTTGACATTTTATTGGGTTTTCCTTCGCTCTCGTTACTGCCGCTCCACTGGATCCACGATTGCTGTTGTTGTTGATATTGTTGCCGTAATTGATGTGCCTGATGTGCTGCCGTTTCGACCAAGTCGCTGCCAACATAAATCCACGCTGTCCCTGTTCCCCCGTTGCCAAGTGACATTACTCCTTTTACTCCCATTTATTCCCTGGATTCACTGGATTCCCCTGGTACGTCGCGAGTTCCTGAGGGTTATGAGGGTTTATGGACCGGGGAGTGGATGAATTGAAGTCGCGTGGCTCGCTTTTATTTGGGTAATTAGTACAAGGCAACTTGATTATCGCGCCATCTCCACGGATGCACAGTTGCCGGGATTGGTAACCAAAGCAGACGAGCCGGCTTAATGGCCAGCAATAACTCGACTTGTCGGTGGACGAGGATGTGGACGTGGACTGTCCAGGAGGACAGGACACCCAGGACAACCAGGACACTGAGTAACAGGTCGGATAACACTGCCAGCATCGGGTCCCGCGGGAAATTGGCCCTGCAGCTGGGCTATCCAATCGCATACAACACCGGGGCCCTATTCAATCTGAGCTGCCCTAATTAATAAATTGAACCAGCAACACAAAGACCTAACCGGTTAATTTGGGAGAAGCTTCCACGTTACAACAATCTGAATCTTAATTAAACTGACTTTTGCAAAGAACCACGAGTGAACCATTGCTAGCGATCCCTTTCACTTTAAGGAACATATATGTTTTGGGATTCCGATTTTGGTCAAAAATACTCATTTTTTTGTGGTTTTTCAGACGTAGTTTAGCCAAATCAAGGCGTACAGCTAAAAGACCGACAGTTTTGATCAGCTTGCTTCAATTGCTATCGATCCCCATCACTTTAAGAAAGATTTATTTTTTGACAAATTTTTTCATTTTTTGTAAGGGGGTAGGTCGTTTATTTTTGAGATTCAGATTTTAGTCAAAAATACTCATTTTTTAGTGGTTTTTCAGTCGTAGTTTAGCCAAATCAAGGCGTACAGCTAAAAGACCGACAGTTTTGAGCAGCTTGCTTCAATTGCTATCGATCCCTATCATTTTAAGAAAGATTTATTTTTTGACAAATTTTTTCATTTTTTGTAAGGGGGTAGGTCGTTTATTTTTGAGATTCAGATTTTGGTCAAAAATACTCATTTTTAGTGGTTTTTCAGTCGTAGTTTAGCCAAATCAAGGCGTACAGCTAAAAGACCGACAGTTTTGAGCAGCTTGCTTCAATTCCTATCGATCCCTATCACTTTAAGAAAGATTTATTTTTTGACAAATTTTTTCATTTTTTGTAAGGGGGTAGGTCGTTTATTTTTGAGATTCAGATTTTGGTCAAAAATACTCATTTTTTAGTGGTTTTTCAGTCGTAGTTTAGCCAAATCAAGGCGTACAGCTAAAAGACCGACAGTTTTGAGCAGCTTGCTTCAATTCCTATCGATCCCTATCACTTTAAAAAAGATTTATTTTTTGACAAATTTTTTCATTTTTTGTAAGGGGGTAGGTCGTTTATTTTTGAGATTCAGATTTTGGTCAAAAATACTAATTTTTTAGTGGTTTTTCAGTCGTAGTTTAGCCAAATCAAGGCGAACAGCTAAAAGACCGACAGTTTTGAGCAGCTTGCTTCAATTGCTATCGATCCCTATCACTTTAAGAAAGATTTATTTTTCGACAAATTTTTCATTTTTTGTAAGGGGGGAGGGTCGTTTATTTTTGAGATTCAGATTTTGGTCAAAAATACTCATTTTTTAGTGGTTTTTCAGTCGTAGTTTAGCCAAATCAAGGCGAACAGCTAAAAGACCGACAGTTTTGAGCAGATTGCTTCAATTGCTATCGATCCCTATCACTTTAAGAAAGATTTCTTTTTCGACAAATTTTTTCATTTTTTGTAAGGGGGGGGGTCGTTTATTTTTGAGATTCAGATTTTGGTCAAAAATACTCATTTTTTAGTGGTTTTTCAGTCGTAGTTTAGCCAAATCAAGGCGAACAGCTAAAAGACCGACAGTTTTGAGCAGCTTGCTTCAATTGCTATCGATCCCTATCACTTTAAGAAAGATTTATTTTTTGACAAATTTTTTCATTTTTTGTAAGGGGGTAGGTCGTTTATTTTTGAGATTCAGATTTTGGTCAAAAATACTCATATTTTAGTGGTTTTTCAGTCGTAGTTTAGCCAAATCAAGGCGTGCAGCTAAAAGACCGACAGTTTTGAGCAGCTTGCTTCAATTCCTATCGATCCCTATCACTTTAAGAAAGATTTATTTTTTGACAAATTTTTTCATTTTTTGTAAGGGGGTAGGTCGTTTATATTTGAGATTCAGATTTTGGTCAAAAATACTCATTTTTTAGTGGTTTTTCAGTCGTCGTTTAGCCAAATCAAGGCGTACAGCTAAAAGACCGACAGTTTTGAGCAGCTTGCTTCAATTCCTATCGATCCCTATCACTTTAAGAAAGATTTATTTTTTGACAAATTTTTTCATTTTTTGTAAGGGGGTAGGTCGTTTATTTTTGAGATTCAGATTTTGGTCAAAAATACTCATTTTTTAGTGGTTTTTCAGTCGTAGTTTAGCCAAATCAAGGCGTACAGCTAAAAGACCGACAGTTTTGAGCAGCTTGCTTCAATTCCTATCGATCCCTATCACTTTAAGAAAGATTTATTTTTTGACAAATTTTTTCATTTTTTGTAAGGGGGTAGGTCGTTTATTTTTGAGATTCAGATTTTGGTCAAAAATACTCATTTTTTGGTGGTTTTTCAGTCGTAGTTTAGCCAAATTTTTTCATTTTTTGTAAGGGGGTAGGTCGTTTATTTTTGAGATTCAGATTTTGGTCAGAAATACTAATTTTTTAGTGGTTTTTCAGTCGTAGTTTAGCCAAATCAAGGCGTACAGCTAAAAGACCGACAGTTTTGAGCAGCTTGATTCAATTGCTATCGCTTTCTATCACTTTGAGGAAGATTTATTTTTTGACAAATTTTTTCATTTTTTGTAAGGGGGGTTTTTATTCTTTGACAAGTTTTTGCCTTTTTTAATATTGGGGTTCCTAGCTTGCTACATATGCCAACGATCCCTATCACTTCATCCTATAATTTAGTTAATTTTAGCCTCTATGAAATAATACCAACCAATATTATAAACTTTGTATTAATATTTTCTTTTTTCCTTGACCTCTTTCTCAGGATTGTCGGACACGAAGCTGCACGAGATCTACTTGGACGATAAGGAGATCAAGTTGAGTTGGATGGTGGACTGGTACAAGCAGGAGGTGCTCTTCCATTTGCAGAATGCATTCAACGAGCAGCACCGGTGGTTCTATCTGGGATTCTCGAAACGCGGTGGCCTGGCGGATGCGGATATTTGTTTTTTTGAGAACCAGAATGGGTTCTTCAACGCGGTGACCGACACGTACACAAGTCCGGATGGACGGTGGGTAAGGCGGGACTACCAGCAGGATTGCGAGGTCTTCAAGATGGACGAGTTTACGCTGGCCTTCAGACGCAAGTTCGACACCTGCGATCCCCTAGATCTGCGACTACATGTAAGTTGATTTTTGTACAGAGAGCTTTTTTGAAACTACTGACTTGATTAGCCGATTTTATTCTATAAATAAAATAAAATAAAAATAAAATATAAATAGAAAAAATTAATTAAATATGATTATTCTTTTGATGTTATACATAACTAATTTATCTAGATACGTTATACGTTCACCATTTTGCTTTTTGATCTCTTGTTTTATCTTTCGGAGAGTTTCGGGAGTTTCCCGCTTGCTCTTTCTTCTGTTTTTCGATTTGATATAATTTTTCAAAGAATAGAAATTCAAGAAGTACCATTCCTCAATGTCAAATTAACATTATTTATTGTATATCAACATTACTTAAAATTTTTTTCTGTGCAGGAGGGCACCATGTACGTGGTCTGGGCCCGTGGTGAAACGGAGCTGGCTCTGGAGGATCACCAGTTTGCCCTGCCCAATGTGACGGCTCCGCATGAGGCGGGTGTTAAGATGCTGCAGTTACTCCGGGCCGACAAGATACTCATACCCGAAACGTAAGAGGCGGTATATTCTATGCGAAATATAGCTTAATTAAATACCCGAAATATTATACCCAGTGAACTGGACCACTTGGAGATCACGCTGCAGGAGGCACCCATTCCCGCCCAGGAGACGACCTACTGGTGTCACGTCCAGCGTCTGGAGGGCGATCTCCGGCGGCGGCACCACATCGTCCAGTTTGAGCCGCTCATCCGGACACCGGGCATCGTTCACCACATGGAGGTGTTCCACTGCGAGGCCGAGGAGCACGTGGAGATCCCCCTGTACAACGGCGACTGTGAGCAGATGCCGCCGCCGGTGAAGGTCTGCTCCAAGGTGATGGTGCTGTGGGCCATGGGCGCCGGCACCTTCACCTATCCCCCGGAGGCCGGCCTGCCCATCGGTGGACCCGGCTTCAATCCCTACGTCCGGCTGGAGGTTCACTTCAATAATCCAGAGAAGCAGGCTGGTGAGTGGATTGGGAAGTGGGTGTGGGCGTGGAAGGGGTGACCTAAAGAGGATTACCACAACCCGGTTTGGTTAAGTGATGGACTGCATCGCCACACGTGGCGCTGTACAGGGATTTGGTTGAAACTTTAAGCGTATTACACTCTTTGCATGTATTTATTTTAATTGGGACTCAATTGAGAGCCATTTAGGTGGTGTTATGGGATCCCAGGTTATCGGATTATCAATCATAAACAAATATATTTTTATATCGGGGTTCGTAGATAAGAATTATTCGAGAATTTTATTTTTAAAAAGGACTGCTTTGATTTTTTTTTTTGGTTTTAAAAGTAAAAAATAGTAAAAAAAAATTACTCCAGTTCATAAAAAAATGTTAAAACCAGTGAACTATGTATATTTGATTATCCCAGTGGGCTATTTTTTAAATAAAGTTCAAAATAAATAAATACAGATTAAAATCCTTTGTTTTATAAAATTTACAAAAAACGTAGCCTACTTAAGGGCTGCTCAACCAGTCGTATACGCAATGTAGTGTAAATAAATTATCCCCTTAGTCAAGTAGGGTATTTTTATAAAATATTTAAAAGCGTAGGTAACTGGATCCAATTAAATCTTGCTACCCAATTGCAAATTGTTAATGGCAGCTATTGAGAAATGCAATGCTCTTGTGCCATTAACGTCAATCAATATTAATCATCCGCCCCGTTGTGCCCTGTCGATTCCAATTACAGGTTTGGTGGATAACTCGGGTTTTCGCATCAAAATGTCGAAGACCCTGCGACAATACGATGCCGCCGTAATGGAACTGGGCCTGGAGTATACGGACAAGATGGCCATTCCACCGGGCCAGACCGCTTTCCCGCTGAGCGGCTACTGTGTGGCGGATTGCACCCGGGCCGCTCTGCCGGCGACGGGCATCATCATCTTCGGATCGCAGCTGCACACCCACCTGCGAGGAGTGCGCGTCCTCACCCGGCACTTCCGCGGGGAGCAGGAGCTGCGGGAGATCAACCGGGATGACTTCTACTCGAACCACTTCCAGGAGATGCGCACCCTGCACTACAAGCCGCGTGTCCTGCCGGTGAGTTATGTAAATCTTTGGCTCTGATTTGGGTTTAGTTAAAAGAATTAGCCGTTTTAACTGGTTATATTACCACAGTTTGAACCTTCAAGGTAAAACAATACGTTGTAAAGCTTAAAGTAAAACTCTAAAACTAGCTTTAGCTGCAATAAGAAACATAGGTTATAAGTAATTTTCAATTGCCTTTTAACCTGAGAATAAATAAATAAAACTATAAATTTTCATCTTGGATAGAAATTATATTAACATAAATTTAGTAACAACAATATAATTATTTAAATAAATGTTTTAAAACATATCTAAATAAATATTAAAATTTGTGACAACTTCACGACTTATATCCAAAAACAAATAACATAATAGACATTTTGACCTTTCTTAAAAAGTAAAGAACATCATTTAAATCGTAGTTATCTTAATACCACTTTTAAGTCATTTATTATATTTTAAACAAGATTTCTTCGACTTCTAAATTTAAAAAACCGAACTTTTGAATCACACTGGAAGCCACAATCTAAGCATTCTTTGTATTTTTAAAGGGTTTTTTAGCCTTGACCTTTTGGCTATCCTGACGATCTAGCATTTCTTTTTTTTTTAGGGCGACGCCTTGGTGACCACTTGCTACTACAATACGAAGGATGACAAGACCGCCGCTCTCGGGGGATTCTCCATCAGCGACGAGATGTGCGTCAACTACATCCACTACTATCCGGCCACCAAACTGGAGGTCTGCAAGAGTTCCGTTTCCGAGGAGACGCTGGAGAACTACTTTATTTACATGAAGCGGTGAGGGATATATTTTTGCTAGTATAATACAAGTTAGAACAAGAACTTATTATTTTATATTAAAAGAAAATGGTTTTAATATAAATCATAGTTTTTAGAAATCACTTTACATTGATTAGTTTAGATACGAAACCATTAAAAGCCCTTTCATTTTGGAGGGAGCTGCAGGCAAATTCCTAAATTGTAAACTTTTTTCGTCTAATTATTTTGCCCTGTCCTTATTCAGCAATTATAACGCCCATTTTTAATAGTATTACTTTGTATTAAGAATCTGGGAACGCTTTAAAAGAAAAAACCCCTTTAAAGATAATATGATGATAATTGTTTGCAATCACTTTAGATTGATTAGATTAGATTTGATCGCTTAACCGCTGAAATCACCGAAAACCCTTTGATTTTGAAAAGAGCTCCAGGGGAATTCCTGACTTGCTTCCTATTGTTTTTGCTCCTTTTTTATCCCTGTCTTTATTCAACAATTACAACGCCCATGCACATTCATGGCATTCTATCCATCCGTACCGCAGGCGTTTGTGGCGTTAATGGAAGAAATATTTTTTAATCTACGCAGCGAAAGCGACGACAGGCGACGTCACAGGCGGGGATTTCGGGTGATCCAAGGGGGGACTTAGAAGGGTCCAAGGGGCTTTGGGGTGATGAGCGGTGGTGGCATTGTGGGTTTTCATTAAGGGGGCTCTTCCGCTCGGCTCCTTGTGCATCAAAGGGAAACTTTTCGGCATTCCTTTTTTGGAGGCAGCGATTCCTTGGCGCATTCATAACGGCAAAATGCTCTTTGTTCGCTAACCCCCCTTTGCCACGCCCATTTCCCCCAGCCTAGCCCCCAAAAAAGGTGTTCGCTAATTGCCAAGTTTAAGCAGTTGAGCATCGGTTGATGGCGAAGTTTACATTAGATTAGGGCCACCGCAATGGGAAAACTTGCAATGCCGCCTTGCCAGAGCATTGTGTATCCCCGTATCCCCGTATCCCCGTATCCCCGTATCCGTATCCGAATTCCTATCCCTATTCATATCCGTATCCGTATCCTTTAGGTGGCAGTCGGAAATGGAAATTGCTCAGATGGCAAAAGCTGAGGTTATTGTTGCGGTTATATTTACCTTACCCTTTTTAACCACAACCGCTTTGCCTAAATCATTATGTTCCATGTCCCTAAAGATTCTTAAAGACAGTCAAAGCTAAAAAAGGAAATTGTATTTTATGAAATGCATATTTCAGTGATATACATTGATTATATTTTAATATTTGTATAATATTAACTATAAAGCTAAAATCAATTTAAGTACTGCCAATATTGGGTAGTATTATATCTACATATGTGATATGATTTGGTTTATACTTATAATTATAATTCCAAATTTGTTTTTAATTTTACTTGTCTATAATAAAATAGTTCCAGTAATTCAAGGGAAGAGCGTTAAGACCTATGGCCTTTACTATTTTAAAATCATTTTATCCCTGGTGAAATGTAAGCTAAAGATAAGAAAATCAAAGTTAAATATTTAATTATTTAAAATTCATTGAATATAGTTATTTTAAAATCTTTAAACTATAATTTTTATTGGAAATTATTTTTTTATTGAGATGTTATGCGTGTAAAATAGTTAAAGTAAATGTGACTTGATATGATGTGCTTGATATTTAAAAGAATGTTTTTTATATATTGAATAAAACATTGGATTATTTTCTTTGCGTGAAATATGTATTTAAAAACTAAGGAATATTATTTTATTATTTATTTATTATTTTAAAGATGTTGGTCACGTACATGGTCTTAAACATTCCTTAAAAATTACTCATACGACACGTATGCGAGTTAAAATGTAGTCCAGAAAAATAGCTCTATCATTCCTTGTTGAAATCGTTAGAATTATTTTCAAAAAAAGGAAAGGTATGCAAAAAAAATAGGTGGTTAAAATCTATCACCTAGATTTAAATAGATTTTTGATTCGAGACAACAGTGCGTATGAGTGATAAATACCAAGCACCAAATATCAAATGCCAAATTCCAAATACCAAATTCCAAGTACCAAACACCAAATATCAAATACCAAATTCCAAATACCAAATACCAAATACCAAATACCAAATACCAAATACCAAATACCAAATACCAAGTTCCAAATACCAAGTACCAAATACTATACAAATGTGGATTACCCAATGTATACCATTCCCTTTTTTGGTTATCAATGATTTTAATAATCGCTAATGGATCCCCGTTTTTCCCGCATTCTTTCAGCACGGAGCACCAGCACGGAGTGCACCTGAATGGGGCCAGGTCGTCCAACTACCGGAGCATCGAGTGGACCCAGCCCCGGATCGACCAGCTGTACACCATGTACATGCAGGAGCCGCTGAGCATGCAGTGCAACAGGTCGGATGGCACCCGCTTCGGGGGGCGGGACAGCTGGGAGGGCGTGGCAGCGACGCCCGTGCAAATCCGCATACCCATCCACCGCAAGTTGTGCCCCAACTACAATCCGCTGTGGCTGAAGCCGCTGGAGAAGGGCGAGTGCGATTTGCTGGGGGAGTGCATCTATTAGGCATTAGGCATTAGGCGGAGGGCGTAATCGCCTTGGCTGGCATGGGGGCGTGGCATAGCACAAGCACACACACACACACACACAGAACACACCCATACACCTGCAAAAGAAATGGTTTATACGGAGATTTTGAATTCAACAGTCGTAGTTCCATAGCCAAACAATTTTTACAGTTTATTATTATGATTATTATAATGTATAATGCTACGTTTTTAGCAAACTCTTATTTAAGCTTTAGTTTGATTTGAATTAATTTTTTAAAAGGATGAGTTTTGAAATTAAATTCAGCTATTGAAATCAAAACAATCTTTTCTTCACTGAAAGTATTTTAGTTTTTCTTTGTCAATAAGTTGTTAGGCCATTAAATTACTTCAAAGTTATAGAAAAATATTTTATAAAAATAAAACGCCATACTTAAAGTAATAAAAACAAAAGGCATTATAATAAAAGCAGTATTAAAATAGTTTCCTACGTGTAAGAACTTCAAATTGTATGCTTTTTTATAAGTTTTCCTGTGCAAGAAATCATTTTTTTGCTAAAACTTCAAAGAGAAATATCTAAAGAAATTATTTAAATTTTTTAACCTCTTTCTAAGAGGTTAAAACGTTTTTTTTTTAAAGCGTTAGGGATGTTCGACTGTAGTCGCTTTGTATTTGCCCGTTCATCTGCATCGCCATTAGCATTATCATTATCCTTTCTTTGTGCGAGTGTGTGCGTGTGTGTATGGGCCAAAGTGAAAGCAACGCAAGGGCAACAGGCCAAAACAAATGTTTTCGCTCTTTAAATAACTAATGCATTTACCAATCCCGCCCATGTACCCAAACCCTTTCACTTTTACTTTCACCTTTTTTCCTTGGCTTTTGGCCTGCTTTTGTGTTATATTTTCTGTTTTTGTGCCCTTTGCCCTTGTTGTCTTGGCCAGCCTTTGAAATTTGCCGACTGACAGCGCCGCCAGGCTAAAACGTTTAACACAAAGCAGCTTACAAGGAAGGCATGGCCCACACACACACACACACCCTCGCACACACACACACACACACACGCACTGAACTTGGCTGAGAGGAAATTGTAGCATACTTCTCAGCGCCAGCTGAAAAATGAAATGGCCAACTGACTGAATGGAACGGAACGGACTTAAATGGACAAAGTGGCCGGAACCAAGAAGGCCAAAAGTATAATGGCGAAGCGGGGTAGTCGAGCTCACTGTTTATACAATATAAATGAGCAAACTTTTGATGCAACCCCACGTTGCCAAGTCTAATTACCAAGAAGCTCTTAAGAAAACGCCATGGAAAAAAGGCGGTAAAAAAAATGTAACAAATCGTAGAAAAATATATATACATATTGGTATTGGGTTCTTATGGGGAATATGGTGCACGGGGGGATCGTGGGACATGGTAGATGAGCTACCAGCAGCCAGGAGCTTACTTACCAGGAAATCCCCCTCCAGAATCCCTTGATATCCGTATCATTCCTTCACGCTTTTCATTAGTTCTATCTTTCATAGTTTTTAGTTTTCCCTAACTCAACTACACACACACACACACAAACACCGAACACACATACATTTGAGTAAACATGTAATGGATACGTTTAAGTGTAGCCAACATACATATGTAAGATGTGATAATTGTTCTATGGCTATAAAAGAAATATATATACACATGAATATATAAACTATGTAGATGAAATATTTATAAAAAACAAAAACGAATCGAAAGCGAAACCAAAAAAAAAGTAAAATGTATAATTTATCGAATAAAAACTGACCACCATACCAGAAAAATGCCAGTGTTTTATTTTTTTTTTGGGGGGGGGATGGTGTTGCAATGTCAACATCTCTTGACAATTGAGTGATTAAGATGGATTTTTATTCAACTTTCAGATAATAACTCCACAGACACCTGTCAATTATTTATCAATTAGTTAGTCTGCTCCAAAAATCCTACCCAAATGCACATACATTACACATTTGAGTCGAGTTTCCCTTAAAAATTCGTTTAATTTATGGCCCTACGGAAATCCCTGAGTGCTTAAGGGCTTAAACCGTTCAATGATGGACTCTCGCTGTTCATTGTCCTCATTGCAGATTTGATCCTTCAACGCGTTGACTGACGACCGGCCATTTTAATTGATTTTTCAGTTTTGTGCACATTTTTCGTGTGACCAACGTGAAGGGGGTAAAGAACAGCGCCCGGCGATGGAAAGTCATGAGAGTATTAAAAACGCTGCAATCCAATTAAAAGTTTTTAACGAAACAACAAATATTTTAATATTCATTGGCGCCGGGCGTACACGCACACACCCAAAAAAAAAAAACGAGGGAATAAGAAAAACTACATTAAAATAAAAAGGGAAGAGCGTGAGATGTTTAAAAAATGTGCCACACAGAAAATAAATATTTTGGAATCATTTTTTTTTTGGAATATAGCATAGTAATACATTCTTGCTTAAGTCTTTGACCCAATTTTTTTGTGCATGGTTTATTTGCGGAGACAAAATATAACAGCTTCCATTCCATTAGCATTATTTCATCAGACGTGGAAGCCTTCAAGCAGATGACAGACTCCTTACATATGTACGTTCCCATTCTTTTCCTGCCGAGAAGCTAGCAAAAATAAGAAGTAAAAGGAAAGGAAAGGAGAAAGTCAGTCAGAATGAACGATAAGAATGAACGTCGAAGGAGAAGGGGGAAATGGAACTTGGGCTTACACTTCCTTGACTCTGAATTACAATGACATATCTTTAAAAGGATTCGAAATTTAAATACTATATAGTATTTTGAGGCCACTAAATACATTTTAATTTAATAATATATAATTTTATATAATATAATAAATAATAATATATAAATGTCTTTTAAAATATATGAAGTAAGAACATATTCCCCAAAAATAAATAAAGCAAAAAAAGAACAAAACAGTGTATTTAATTTAAATTATATATTAATTAATTTTATAATTTAATTACATAAAAATAATTTTTAAGTGCTTTAAAAATTCATATTCCCCAAAAATAAATTAAGCAAAATATTAGTGAATATTGTATATTGTAAATGTATTTAATTTTAATTATAGTTTAATTATATTTTAAGATTTATTATATAAAAAAAATTTGTCAATGCTTTAAAAACATATGAAGTGTTCTTGCCAAAAATAAATAAAGCAAATAAATTTTCATCATGTTGATGAACAGTGTAAATTGTATATGTACTAAATTTTAATTATTTTATTTATTTTCTATCTACTAAAATAAAAAATAAGATTTCAATGCTTTTAAAATATATCAAGAAAGAAAAATATATGAAAAATAAATTTATTAAGATAAAGAATGAAATAATATTTAGTCCCTTTGCTGAGCAGTGTATTTTGTAAGCGTAATTAAAGTTTTAAAATATTCAAGGCAGTACTCTTAATTAGAATAAGTAATTTAACTCGTCCAATTTTTTTTTAGGGATTTTTGGGGCCAGTGTCACGCGGGCAGAGTGGTTTTATTTGAGGCGAGGGAAGTCAGCGGCAGATTTCCGATTTCGGGGACTGCGAAAAGTCAAGTGGTCGCGGCGTACGCGGCGTATGCGTAACGTAACCTAACGTAATGGCGTACGTGAAGGCATCGCCCCCAAAAATCTCGTGTGTGTGTGTGTGTAATCGCCTTTTTCGGGTTGTTGTCATTGCATTTTCACGCTCGCACACACACCATACACACTCGCACGCACACACACACACACACACACGCAGGAGCAGAACATTTAATCAACCCAACCTTCAACGTGACCGCCTTGTTCTGGTTAGTGGCGCCACCTGTGAGGTACAGTCAAACTTCTATAGGAAGGGTTCTATAAGGGTTCTTTGTAGTTTTCCCTAAAACATGCTCTTAAGTCGCTAGACTTTAGATTTATTATGGTTAATGGTTATTATATTGTAATTAGAATACTTAATAAGGAATTATCATCTAAAACTTTTAAAATATACGATGGTATTTGCTGTTCCTAAAGTTAAACATATTAAAATTATGTTTTTCTTATAGATTACCTGTCAATCACATAGAATAAAATCAATTTCGGTTAGGTTCCTAAAGAATCCACTGAAATAAATTCAAGTTTCGGAAGTTCAACTGTAAAAGTTGGGGTTACGATTGAGGTAGATGTTTTGGGGCTGGGGTTTGGGGTTCGGGTCTTAGATCCATGGTCTCGCGCCCGCGTAGCATCATTACTGTCATCGGCATCGGCATTTCCATTCCCATTTCCAACCGCAGACTCATTCTGCTAAAACATTTATCTGCGGCCCAATCGCTGGCGTGTGTGAACGAGTTTTGTGACGGAGGGGCCAAATTTAATGTCACAAACTTTTGATGTGTTCTAATTTATATACAAACAGACAAATAGACAGACATGCAGACGACATCAAGGCTGCCTTATCTTTGGCCTATACCCTTTCAAGGGATTTGCTTGTATTTACCAAATGGGTTTGAGGAAAACTTTTGGTATTTTTTTCAATATCCTTTTTTTTACAATGCCAAAAAATATTAGATTATAAAAAGGTTTGGCATATATGATTGTATGATTAGCAAAATAATTTAAACATCCTACATTGGCAAGTATTAATAGATTATTAAATTTATGGCATATATGATTGTATGATTAGCAAAATAATTTAAACATCCGACATTGGAAAGTATTAATAGATTATTCAAGTTATGGCATATATGATTGTATGATTAGCAAAATAATTTTAACATCCTACATTAAAAAGTAATACTAGATTATTAAAGTTATGGCATATATGATTGTGGGATTATCAAAATTCTTAAAACATCCTACATTGGCAAGTATTAATAGATTATTAAAGTTATGGCATATATGATTGTATGATTAGCAAAATGATTTAAACATCCTACATTGGAAAGTATTAATAGATTATTAAAGATATGGTATATATTATTGTAAGATTAGTAAAATAATTTAAACAGCCTACATTGGCAAGTATTAATAGATTATTAAATTTATGGCATATATGATTGTATGATTAGCAAAATAATTTAAACATCCTACATTGGCAAGTATTAATAGATTATTAAATTTATGGCATATATGATTGTATGATTAGCAAAATAATTTAAACATCCGACATTGGAAAGTATTAATAGATTATTCAAGTTATGGCATATATGATTGTATGATTAGCAAAATAATTTTAACATCCTACATTAAAAAGTAATACTAGATTATTAAAGTTATGGCATATATGATTGTGGGATTATCAAAATTCTTAAAACATCCTACATTGGCAAGTATTAATAGATTATTAAAGTTATGGCATATATGATTGTATGATTAGCAAAATGATTTAAACATCCTACATTGGAAAGTATTAATAGATTATTAAAGATATGGTATATATTATTGTAAGATTAGTAAAATAATTTAAACAGCCTACATTGGCAAGTATTAATAGATTATTAAATTTATGGCATATATGATTGTATGATTAGCAAAATGATTTAAACATCCTACATTGGCAAGTATTAATAGATTATTAAAGATATGGTATATATTATTGTAAGATTAGTAATATAATTTAAACATCCTACATTGGCAAGTATTAATAGATTATTAAAGTTATGGCATATATGATTGTATGATTAGCAAAATAATTTTAACATCCTACATTAAAAAGTAATACTAGATTATTAAAGTTATGGCATATATGATTGTATGATTAGCAAAATAATTTAAACATCCTACATTGGAAAGTATTAATAGATTATTAAAGTTATGGCATATCTGATTGTATGATTAGCAAAATAATTTAAACATCCTACATTGGCAAGTATTAATAGATTATTAAAGTTATGGCATATATGATTGTATGATTAGCAAAATAATTTAAACATCCTACATTGGCAAGTATTAATAGATCATTAAAGTTATGCCATATATGATTGTAGGATTATCAAAATTCTTAAAACATCCTACACTGGAAAGTATGGTTTAGATTTTGTACAAATAGTCATACCAAAACTCGTAGAATTTGCCAAGCTAAAGCTGTTTTATTTTACTTAAGGTATGCAAATTTCGACATACCCGTGGGGCTTCCAAATTCACCACCTCCCTGGCCCAGAATCGTTAAAGTAAATTTGTTTTCACGCTTGATGGCGAATTGTGCGACTTGCTTGATCTTTCCACACCCCCCCGGTCCCATTCCCCCAATTTTTTTAGCCAGATTTCGCCACATTTTCCCCCAACCCCTTTGGCGCGCTGGGAAAAACACGCAGCTTTTCCGTGCATTGGAAATTTTTCGAGCGAGCGGTGCTCTTGTTAATATTTCATATGTCATCGCAAGGAGTCCCAGGAACACCACTTCACTCCACATTTTGTTCCCTTGTTTTTTTTTTTTTTTTCTTTCCGCCGTCATTCCCAGCATATTCACGTGCCACACCTACCGGAATTCTACCTCCTGGAATTTCCCTGTAAGCGGCCACAACTCTTAAATCGCTTGCGTTTAAAAATTTGATTATGTGACATTTTCGTTCGGCTTTTGTGGGGGGAGTTTGAAGGGGAAAAAAGGCGAAACAAAAAAAAGGGAAAATTAAATTTGTACACAGATTCACTTCGTTTCTTTTTTTTCGTTGCTGTTGTAATTTTCATTTATTTTATTTTTCATTTTTTGTGGTGGCTGATGGTTGTTCTTGTTGTCATTGCAGGAGGAACCTGCAAAGGACCTCCGCACGGAGTCTGTGGTAATTTCATTCGCTTTTATGAAGGCTTTTCCGCATTTTTGGCATTAAGGAGCACATTAAGTCAGTTATTGTCAGGTGGTCGACTTTAAAATACCCCGTATTTATATAATATTATATTATATTATTATTTTTTAAGTACATTTATTATTTGTGACTGACTTTAAGACTGCTGCTGTACACCGTATGTGTGGCGGCAGAGCTTTTCTCTATGTTTGCTTAATAGGCAAAAAATCAATACTATATCTAAAAAAAATGTTGAACTTAATTGCTTTATTTATATATAATATACATTAAAATGATTATTTATTTTATTAAAATATAGAAAATAAAGTTAAGCAATTTTTGGGTTAAGAGTAAACTTGAAGTTAACCAGTTAAATCTGTTGGACATTTTTAGAAGCATCTCAATTAAACATTCAGTGGTTATTTTAAAATTTACTTATATATATTTTTTCTAAGTCTAAATAACATTTTAATATAGTTTTCCTGTTTAAAAGGGCAGAAATTAAAAATAGTACCACAATCTTTAGTCTAAGACTTAAAATTTTTTGGTCTGTCCTTTTTTTGTAACCACTTTTTGTGCTATTCTGTGATATTTGGTGGTAATCGTTGGGTATTTGTACTGTGTGGTATGGGATAAAGCGACTGAAATCGGCTTAAATGCCCCTGTGCCGCCCAATCATTTAAGGCCAGGGGGGCGTGGCAGCGGTATGGCACTTTGGGGACCAATTGTGTATTTTTTTCTGCTATGTTGTTTGCTGCTTTGTTTTATGCATAATTTATGCAAAATATCCAAGTACAAATTGACATTAATCAGTATGCTTTATTGACTCGTCCTTGGCCAGTGGTCGCAGGACTTTTGCCAGGATAAGGCCCAAAAGCTCACACCCATTTAAAGGAATGTCAGAGTCGAGATAGAACGCTGACATTTCTGGTTGTGTGGACCCAACATTCCTATTACTTAATCAAGAAATTCCGTTTGCCTTTGACTCGTTGCCCTTTGCCAGACCAAAAACAAAAAAGAATCCCCCCCGACCATTGCGTTAATGGCCTTTGTGGCCTTTGCCACGTTTTGTTTTGTGGCCCAAAAAGGGTATCTGAACACGTTTGGGTTTCGTATCTAGAACGTATTACTGATGCCCAATAATTATTATTCCCAGCTTCTGCTTAATTATATGAATTTCGTTTGCAAACTTATATAATTTATCGGTGTTTTCATTATGGTATAATAAATTCGCATTAAGCAGGAATTTAATTATGCATTTGTGATACAGATTCACTGATGTTAGGCAGTCTAAAAAAGCTTATATTTTCCAAATCACAGGTAAATGGAGTGTTAGAAGTGCATTTCAGATTCGGTTCTGCGTTTGTCAGTTCGACCATCCTTCTTTTGTTTTGTTGATAATGAAAGTGACTCGACATTCCGCCCCCTTGTGGCTTCCAGTTGTACTCGCTGACCTCGTTGGGGGGGGGGGTTCACCAACGGCAGGAATTCGCAATAAACGTGGTCACAGGACGGGATAAGCCAAAGTCCATTTGACCTGTCGCCTGTCGACTGCGATTGCGATTGTGAAAGTAGGTCGATCTCCTTTTATGGGGCATAGTTGGCGGGGTGTATTACAAATAGATCGTTACGGGGAACCGAGACTAACAATGCGTTATTATACACATACATCCTCATGAAAACATATACATTTTATTGATACTCCTTGTATAAGTTAAGATTCAAGCATTGATCTGAAGATCAAAGGTTAATGTTCTTTTTATATATGGGTATAGATCCCCACCTCTTGTTAAAAAGTAAAAACAACAAAATATTAATAGGGTATTACAAATAAAATATTCATTTTATTCCAAATTTTTTATTTATGCTCAACAATTTTTGTTATATTTCCCCCACAACCATTTGTTATATGTATATAGTTCAGTCATATATGCTCAACTTATAACTTTATTGTTTAAACTACAAAGCAATTGATTAAATTACACATAGAAAACAAGGCAAATTTTCACCTGGGAATCATTTTAAAATTTCAAACTCTGCATAAATGGTTTTAAACTTAAAATTTTTTTAAATAGTTATATCTTGTTTTTTTTGCACCTAACATTTTGGAAATTAATTTTTAATAATTTAATAATTAAAAATTAATAATTTTCTGGGTAAAATGGGTCGTAGTTTTCCGGATTAGGGACTGTCGTGGTGTCAATCGTACGAGTAAACAAGTCCAATAGCTGAACCTCCGCGGTGTTCCTGGTGGCATTCACAGCGGCAAACGCACCTGGAAAGTTATCCAGCTTGCTGGCCACATCCTCCACCCGGCAGCATTGCACCAAACCGTAGGCAGGGAACTCGCGGAGACTGCCGAACAGGCTGCTCCTCAGCCAGGACACCTGGTCGCACATGGAGGGGCAAAAGTCGCTGTTGCTTAACTGGTAGGATGGGCAAGATAATGAAGGCTATTAACAATAAGTTAGTCATATGTATGTATGTACGCACGAAGGGGGAGTTGTGGCCTATGATGACAAACTCGTCCTGGACGCCACCTGTTTTCTCCAGGGCGTGCACATGGGCCCAAATGTGGGCGGGTATCGGGATGGAGCTGCCGTCCGCCATTTCGATTTTCAGCGAACGGCTGGCGTTGCAGGGTCGTCCGATGGCCATCGGTAGCTCTAGGTAACCGGACACGCCCAGTCGTACATCAAAGTGGTTCGAATCCATTGCATCGCGCATTGCCTGGATCCAGTGCTTCCAATTGCCAGCACGCAAGGCCCGCATCCAGATGGTGGACATCATATCCTCGTAGCCATGCAATTGCCTGGCAACAGCCTCGTCCTGGACCAGACTGCCGATCTGAAAGGTTTCCCCCGCGAACAACTGCGCCAGCTGCCTTTCCTTCGCCATGTAGGCGTCGATTTCCCCCTGGCTTTACAAAAATATATAATTCATATAAAAGCATTTGATAGAACATGATGGTAGTTCCTGGTAGACATTTTTCTCAAGTAAAAAAAAATTCCACATTTTCAAAAGTTTACCGAAAATAATCAATGTAGTCTATTCATTTATTTGGCAAAATTAAAGGATAACAATATAGTTTTAAACTCAAATATATATCATCTTAATTGGTTAGGCGCAACTTGAGATATAATTACAAAACTCAGAGATACCAAAAAATATTTCTTTAAAAAGAAGCTTAATTAAAAAAATATATATAATTTTGTGACCTCTTTTTTGTGATCTAGGGGTCCAACTCTACCAGGAACTACCATCATACTTCTTGGAGCATTTTTAATATATTATTTTGCAAGCTAGTGTGATCATTTGTAATCAACTTACCTCACGGTCTTGACTAGATATTTTTGGTAAGTTACATTTATGTCCAATCCGATATCATTTAGTTGGCCCACTTGCGTCTGTGGAAAATCAGATATGCACACTCTAACTTTTTTGAACGGGATTTCAGCTATTAAAAACTTACCTTTGTGATAACTCGGTTTTTGGTTGGAAATGTCGTGTAGCCGATATATTTCATTCGAGAGGACAAAATATCAAAGCACAAGGCCACACTTTTTATTGAACCTTTTTCATCGAACTCATGACCCAAAACGAGTGTCATGTCGCCCTCACAGTTCTGCATGCTGGTCTTACTTTCAAACATCTGCCACGATCCCTTCAGACACTGAACTTTACTTATATCATTGCCAGACCTTTGGTCGTAAAAATAACCATTATAACTGCAGTGCACTGTAACCTTAACATGTAACCTGTCCGCATATCCGTTCCTAATAAAATTATAACAAGAAAAGAGTCAGCTTAAAACCAAATCAAGCAGCTATGTACTATAGTACTCCAATAAAATAACAATTTAATCTGAAAACTTAAAAAATGCAATGCCCCATGTGGTATACACTAGAAGCGAATATGATCAAAGCAACGAATCTATAACTTTTTTGATTTTGACCGTTCCGACCTAAACACTACTTGCCTACACAGAGAGAAATATTCAAGTACATTGTTCTTGAATTGAAAACATTCGTTCTTAAAAACCGTGTAAGTACATTTTGGTATCACTGTTCTCAATATAAGGGAGATGGGAAAAGTTAAATTGAGTTTATTTCACAACATTTTGATAAGTAGTATTCAAGTACATTGTTCTTGAATTGAAAACATTCGTTCTTAAAAACCGTGTAAGTACATTTTGGTATTACTGTTCTCAATATAAGAACGAAATGGTGAGAAGGGAAAAGTTAAATTGAGCTTATTTAACAACATTTTGATAAGTATACACTACTGACTGGACTAATAGATTTTTTGTTGATATATAAAACGTACATAACGCCAATCGGGCAAAGTGAAAACATTTTCAATTTGAAAAATTTCGTTCTATTTTTAAGAACATTTTCAACTCAGATGAGAAGGTTAGAATTTCCTCTGTATAGGAATGAACGATGACTTTTGGGAATGTGTAATTTTGAAAGCTTTTAAAATGAGAAACTGGGTCGCCAAAAGGGACAGTCGGACAGACAGATGCTGATCAAGAATATATACACTTAATGGAGTCGCAGATCTCTCCTTCACTGTATTACACACTTCTGATAACATTATTACTATTGCGGAGCTAAAAAACTCGAAATTAAGTTTTTTTGCGTTTAAAAATTGTCACGAAAATTGTAGTTCCTTTTGCAGAGCTGAAACACGCCAATAATAACCAGTAGTATTAAATCATAAAACCTGTTATACGAAAATCCACTGCCACAATAAAAATCAATAGTTTCTCCATCTTCCCGTTCGTAAGTCCCAAAAGAATCGGATAAAAGTAGCTTGGACCCGAATTGCGTCAGGACGAGCGGAGCGTTGGGACCTGCTTCCATTTTACAAGTTCCGATCACATCCTGGGGCAGAATTAAGAGCAGTGAAAGCCCCAGGAACACAGTGTATATCGGCCACATCGCGACGATTTTAAAATTCAACTGATTGGGTCTGTCGATGGGGATCCTTTTTATAGGGCCTGTTTGCTGATGCAGCAAAGCTGCTTATTGCAATTGTGAACTGATTTCCACCGAGCACAGCGCTAAAGCGATAACCCAAGGGTCGGAAAGTATGCCATTCCAAATACAATGTATGTATATGCATATATATTTTAAATCTATTATAGTTATTTGTCACCTTCTCTAATAAAAAATAACCATAACAGTCGAACCAAAGAAATTATTATTTAAATTGAAAATAAACTTAGATTGCCAAAAATTTAAAATAAATAAGAAACACCTTATCAATTAAGTCTACATATGTATAAGTGTAGATGGCTAAGCTGGCTTACTTGTTTTCCTAGCAGATCATGGGATCCCCCTTTTTCTAATTTTTCAACCGATAAGAGCACTAGATTACATATACATATATATATATATATGCGTTAGGGTGGTCCACAATCTAGAATCTTATTCTCATCCTTAATTATGATAGATTTTGGGGTGCAACAAATGTATTCGAAAACTTAAAAATGTTATTTTAAGCAACGTCTAAATGTTCTTCAAGTTTCCGTACAAATTATTCATACGAGACAGTCGCCAGTTAGAGTTCCTTCAAAAAAAACGTTTTCCCATATGTCATTATATAATTTTGTTGGATTATTTGTTAAAGTAAGGGAGTGTATAAAACAAATGTTTGGTTGAAATTGTCACAACTCAGATTAAAATAAACTTTTGTTAAAAGCCAAAAGTTCGTAGAAGTCTTAAATTTTAAGAACAATGCACAGACCTTAGGACGCCTTCTTTAATTTTTTTAAGTAAGCATGTGAACGTTGAACCTTTATAATTTGCGTATAAATGGGAACCACCCTAATGTTTATATGTCATTCTTTACATATTCAAAGCGCATTCCATATATTTATATATATGTCATTACTTATACATACGTTTGTACAAAGCACAATGAAAATACTTAAAGAAATGTAGCCTTAATATTCACTCACATTTAATTTTACCTTAGAAATAAAATTAATTCAGATGTTATAGAGATTTAAACAAATAGTAGAATATAATAATTTTGTAGAACTAAAAAGACACATTTGTGCTTGTCCAAAAATTTGTACAGTTGACAAGAGCTGAAATAGTTTATTCCAGTCTATCGAAGTTGCAAATATAGTATAACACAATTTGAGCAATCCATTCCTATCTAAATTTACAATGACTCGATTAAAGATCCTTTGACATACTGTAGTCGTAATTTAAATTTATTTATTCAAGTCTTTATATATTGTTTACAAATGTATTTTTGCAAGTATTCATTTTGAATCTACTGCTCGAGCGCCTTTAAGTTTTCAGTGGTGCCTGTGGCCTGCGCTGGTGAACCGTAAAAGGAGTCCAGTTTCTGGGCCACATCCATCACTCGGCAGCACAGCATCAAGCCGTTGATGGGATAGCGGTGGAGACTGGCGAAAAGGGTGTCCTTCAGCCAGGACACCTGGTCGCACATCGATGGGCAAAGTTCGGCAGATGGATCGATTCGTAACTGCAAAGGAATAAGGAAGTTCTTAACACAATGCCAAACACTAATTGCTGTTAAATTATATAAAAAGCTTTCACTTTAATTTCTTTCCAATCAGACAAATATATTTGTACACAGAGAGATTTTTGACGTTCCCATCTGAGTTGAAAATGTTTTTAAGAAATGGAAAATATTTTCAATGTTCTTGAATTCAGTTCAACTGGCGGTACTTACATTGTTCATCTCAACAACTAAACTATTAGTTCAGTCATTACTGTATATCAATTCAACTTTTACCTTCTCACCATTTTGTTTTGATATTGAGAACATTGATACCAAAATGTACTTACACGTTTTTTAAGAACGAATGTTCTCAATTCAAGAACAATTTGCTTGAATATTTCTCTCTGAGTAGGTAATCAACTCTTTTGAAACATATCGTTTGTAAATACTCGTTTCCATTTTCATTAAACCATGTCGGAAGTTGTTAGTTTGGTATACTCACAAAGGGAGAGTTATGGCCTACAAGGACGAACTCGTCCTCGGACGCTCCAGTCGGCTGCAGGGCGCGCACATGGGCCCAAATGTGGGCGGGAACGGAGAGGGTGTTGCCGTCCGCAAGGTCAATGGCCAGTTCCCGACCATCCAACAGCTCAATGGAACCAGAGACACCGAGGCGGACTTCGAATTGGTCGCCGGATTCACTGGCCGATCGCAGAGCCGCCAGCCAGTGCCTCCAGTTCCCGGTGCGCAGGCTATGCAGCCAGACGACGCTCATCATGGCCTCGTAGCCGGCCACCTGGGCGCCCAGAGCCTTGTCCTGCACCAAACTGGCATAGTCGAAGGGTCCGGTGCCGAACATCTGCGAAAGAGCCTTCTCCTTGCTCCAGAATGCATTCACATCCGCCTGGCTGCAGACGGTAAAAGATGAACATTGGATAATTATTTGCTTCATATTATTAGCTAATATTTTTTTTATAATTGATTAATCAATTTAATAATTTCTGATACCCATATACCAATTTAGTATCCACATTAAGCTCACCTGGCCATTTTAAAGAGTCGTTCACTAGGGTCTACTCTTAAATCCAGCCCAAGATTATTTAGCTCGCCCAAGTGAGTCTGTAACAAGGGGGGTAAAATCAAAATAAAATAGAAATATCATTAACTGGTTACAAAAAATATTAAAATAAAATACTTTTCAGATTTTAGTTGGAATACTTTGGTTTGCCTACCTTTTCGAGAACTCTTTGCCTCTCGGGATACGTTGTATAGGTTAAATATTTTAGATTGGCTTTGGTGCTATCATAGCACATGGCTACACTCTTTATGGAGCCCATTTCCTGAAAGTCGTAGCCCAAAATTAGAGTCCACTGGTCCTTGCAGTTGGGTAAGCTAATCCGACTCTCGAACAAGGCAGCCACTCCGTTCCGACATTGGACACTCCTCTTGTCTCCCTGAATGTTTAGTCCATGGTTTTTCAGAAGAAAGCTACCATCTGGCTGACAGATGAGCGTTTCCAGCCTGTGGTCAGAAACGAACTGATACTGGCTGAAACCATCGAACGATTTGGAATTGTTATTTTTAGCTATTAACTCTTATTTTCGAAGACAGGGAAAGAGAATTTGATTATTCATTTACATTTGGTAAAAGTTTTCATCTTTTTATAGCAATTATATTTCACAAGCTTGTTATCAAGAAAAGATAAATGTTGGTATACATGCACATTTGATTAACAAGCAACAACTAACCCGTCATTTTTGAAAATAAATCCAGTGCCGCAATAAAACTGTATCTCCTCGCTTTTATTTCGTTCTATCAATCCGGAATATCCAGATAGTATGGTTTGGGAACCGTTGGTGGTCACTATTAGGGGCGCCGTCGGCGAAGTATTAATCTGGCACTTTGGCTCGTGTAATGAGTTCATAAACCCCACAAAAAGGCCAGCTAACAACACAGCTGTCAAGGGATCCATCGCGAAATTTTATTAGTGACTGGTTCGCCATTGATCAGTGGGCCGGTATTTATAGGATTCCGAAATCTGCTGATTCTGTACATCTCTTATCTGACCATCTTATTGCTCAGTACTGTTAGTGTACATATGTATGCTATATGGGATAATGGGACTCCCCGTTTTCGCATTCTTTAAATAAGTAAGCGATATGGAAATTTATAGGTATATATGTACAGTGCAAGTTGTCTATAGAAGTGCGATTACTAAACGCTTATCTGTGCTTTCAATAGGCTATTTATTTCCCATTTAACACCCATATGTTCATATAAAGTTGAATTTTAATAAAACGTCAAAGTTCAACCAAAGTATACTAATTGCTAATTACAATGTAATTGCAATCGACAGCTAAGATTTACATATATAAATATATTGAAAATCTGAAAACATAGTTTTCTTGCCAATGCAAAAAATTCTCCAAAGTTACTCAACTATAAGTTTTCACGATAAACTTACATAAGAGAATAAAAACACATAGTTTGTATTTATTTTTTATGAACTTTTGTTTATTTTTTTGCGGATTTTCTTTGTTTTTCGTCAGTTTTTTGTTTTTTATTTGTTTTTCATTTCATTTCTTTTAGTTTTTTGCTTTTGTCTGCCATTTCATTAATACTAAGTGTACGCATTAAAGGTAAAATATGTTTTATGTTTTACTTGTTAATTGGTTTCCTTCGATTTCTGTTTTCATATTCTCCTTCATTAATTTTAGGCTTACTAAGAAGTGTTGTATATATGTAGTGAATGCTAGAGGGGCCAAAATGGAGTCATGTAAATGTAATGGTTTCTATATCAACTCTTCTGCCAGCCCAAATGGCTTCCCCTTGATTTTTGTTTTCGCTTTATAATCGTAATAGTTATTATTATTATTAGTTCCTGCATTACGCTCCACGCGTAACGTTGCTTTAAAGTTTTTCTGTTTAGCGGTAGGCGCTTAAGGCTAAGATCGTTTGCTTTTACGTTTCAGAAAAGTGATTCTTTAGTGAGTTTCTCGCTATATGTTACATACTCCTCGATCCAGCTAACCGGCTATCCTATTCCTCATCGTCGTCTAGTTAATGCCCTCGTTAAGTAACAACAAAAGGTCAACAATTAATTGCTAATATGCCAAATGCATCTTCTAGAATTTGGGCGATTTGATCAGATTGGACAAATATCAAATACATCTCGTTTTCCCCTCGGTTCGTGTGTTAAAATATATATATATATATTTATAGGTGTGTTATATTCATATATGCAAATAAGTTGTTCATATCAGGGATGTAAATCTATGTATAGAGCTGTTAATATATATATATATATATAATATATTTCCTTTTTGCTGAATTAAAAACTTCTTTTTAGTTTGAATCGTTTGGTTTTTCTCATTTTTTATTTTCATACATTTCTCGTTTATCTCCTCGTGTGATTTATTTCTCAATTAAATGCTAAAATTAAGTATAGAAAAAAAATGTTTCTGTATTTCTGATGCATCATTTT